AGTAAGAATGGGTGATATAAACAACAATTTTCAACATTCTCAACCCAGCACGTAATGCACACATTGAGTAGTGAAAGACGTGATGAGGCTGCTCCATGTTGGATGCACTTTTGATAGATTGCTTTTAATAGTTATCCACGATTAGGTGAGGATTTAATCCAAATAGATATTCCTTTAAATTGACCGAAACAATTTCGTATTGGTGGAACTGAGCATGCAAATATAATAGCAAGATTAAGTGAGTGACCCGGGCAATGAGTGTACAGGCCTTGCTTTGCATTTCTCGAATTTGTTTTTGGACATCAGTTCTTTCACCAGCCATGGTAGATGCTCCATCATATCCTTGACCACGCAATTCATTTAAAGGTAATCCAACATCAGTCAATATTTTTGTAATTGTTCATACAATATCTGTTGCTCTGACATTCTGTAGCTTAACAAAGCCAATAAATTCTTCCCTAATTTCACACTTATCATCTACAAAGCAGAAACATATTGCTAAATGTTCCACATTGTGGGAAGACATTTCATTGGGAAGAACAGAGTAGAATCCAGACTTTTTTACTTCATCAATAATTTTCACTCAAATTACATCATATCCTATGACATAGATTATGTCATTTTGTGAGCAGGGAGATAAATGTGTAGTATTGTTTGCCTTAGATGATACAAAGGAGCTTTCAGTATTTCATAATTTTCAACATATTTCAGCAAAGCGAGAAAATTACCAGGATTTTTGGAAGAATTTGCATCTTCGGTATCTCAACGAAATGTCAAGCTTTGTTTTCCTAAAATCAAAATGATACGAACAGTTTGATGAAGAATATGTTTATTCTGAGTTATACATGATTGAAAGGAATTGTTGGTAATTATATCAATTCTACTGGATGATGGATGTTCAATGGAAGCTTTCAAAGCATCAAAATCCTGCATAGAAACAAGCTTGGAATGGTTGTTTAAAGTACTTTTTACTCAATTGTTAAACGATTTGTTGACAAATATTAGTTTATCACGTCGACTATGCACTGGAAGAGGGGTAGCACAAGTACCATAAAAAATATCATCCCATTTTGAGCTGTATAATAACCATGTGTATTTTTCAAGCCAAGCTCTTTTACACTTGCGGTTACACCCATGAGAAAATGTAGTAGGAAAAACGTTTGATGGTGCCACATGCTTATAAAGATAGGAATACTTTCAACATTTGATAGGTTACTGATAGCTTGGCATTTTTCACTAAGTGATTTTGTTTGTGTCAATAAATTGCCAACGTCAATGCATGGCTCAGTGACTGCAGAAAAACCATGACAAATGTCTGATGAATCCATGATTGCTGTAATGCAGTGTGATGATGATAGTCCAGGAAGAATGGAGTTGTTAGTGCTTGAAGCAGTTTTAGGCTCAAGTAAACCAGTGTGCATATCATCAATGTCATCACCACAAGAATATAGCTCAATAGTGTCAACCTCACAAGCTTCACATTCATCGCCGCCACCAGAGAAAGACTGAGATGGTGACTGAGTTGTATCATTAGCAGTGTCTGAAAACAAAAATATGTATAACAATTTTAAATAGGCGACCAGTATATAGCTTTAATGTAATATTGTAGTTTATATGATACATAAAATCTATAATAAATATTATTTTTGTACTCATCTATATATATAGATGAACTATAAAATATCATGTATAGATATTCATGGATTAAACACAAATTTTGTAATTTTAAACACCAGACATATGTAGCTATTCTAATTGCATGTCAAAGGATCGACTCATTTTTCGGAAAACTTAGTGATAAAACATAAGACGAACGTAATAAAACGAAGAATTTATTAGACGTTTCGGAAGCGTAATAATTCCATCATCAGTAATCTAGGGTTACAAAACCAATAAACAATATTTGTAATTACAACAGAAATATATATACATACGATAAAACAGATCGAATATACAAATACATCACAAGAAAATGAAAACTGAGGCACAAGTATAATAGTTAAAATAGGTTTAAATACAGTGAAGACTGTGTGTTATTTAGGGACAGGAGAAGAGTTTTTATGTATAATGTTTCTTTTATAAGAAGTTCAGTATTATGTTTGGCTGTTGAAATAATTTTAAAGTTTGAGAGAGAAATCGGATGTCCTGTTTCTGTATTGTGTTGATAGATAGCAGAGTTGGGAGGGTTTTTGTATCCTTTCTTCCCGTTTTTATAGATATGTCCATGTGTTCACATGCTCGTACTTTTGGAGACGTTTGGTTTCACCAATATAGAAGGCTTGACAGTCTTCGCACGTGTATACGTAGACGAGATGCGAACAATGGGCAGTCGGCAAACGATCTTTGTAGCGGAAATTTTTTTTTAGTCTAAACTTGGATTTCATAATGACTTTCAGGTCAATTTGGGGATAATAAGTGTTACATAACTTTTTCAACTGTTTCGTGATAAGTGAGGTTTGTCTACGGAGATATGGTTAGTAGGTGTATATACGAAGTTTGGATACGGTGGGTATCTCAGATGGTTTGACAAACAAATTAGTTAAGAATGAGGAAGTTATTTTCTCCAAGAAATGCTTAGGGTAGCCGTTTCGAAAGAAAAATTTTGTATGGAAGTGATTTCTTTGTGAAGGGCTAAATAGGATGAAGTAAGTTTGTACGCTCTATTTAGTGGACAGAGAATAAGATTGCGTCTGAAAGAACTTTGCTATGTTTGTATATTTGATTTGTTTGTTTCTTATATATATATATATATGTATATTTCTGTTGTAATTACAAATATTGTTTGTTTGTTTTGTAACCATAGATTACTGATGATGGAATTATGACGATTCTGAAACATCTAATAAATGCTTTCTGTTATTAAGTTCCTCTTTTGTTTTATCATGATAAAGAATATATTAACTACTAAAGCAGCAAATATAAGTAATACTGTACCTTGGTCGTCTTGTGCCATTCCTTTTCTTTTGTATATCGCTGCAATCAGTTTCACGTTCATTCTGTTCAGTAAAAAGTGTCAAAGGTCTAGCTTATATATATATCGTATACTGTGTAGTATCGCGAACCAGACTCTTACTTGTATAGCGGGTAATGTGCAAGTAGATTTAAGACTGGTACAATTCTCTATTCCTTCCTTGTACGAAAATAACAACCTACAAAAATGTTTAAATCTCAAACCCAAAATCACTTTATAGTTTTATTTCCGTGACATGACGAAGTTTGCTCGTGCTCAAAACCACGTGTAGGTATCAGATATACACGACTCTTTCACTTTAAATTTATTGCGTCTTGTTTGGATCGGTATTTTTGGTCTTTGTGCACAACCTGGGAGGGTCGGGTTCATTTCAGACTCCTTCCTCCCTCTAGATAAGAAATGATTCTTTGATCAAATGTTTAATGCGAGCGTTATAATTTGGATAGTTTATATAGTGCGGGTGTCCTATTTAGTTATTTTTAAAACTGAGAGTTTATGGCATGTTTGTTTAAGTAATTGTTTTCGAAACATACGTTGTTTAGCGTGTACATTAAATTGTTATGAGTTAGCAATTGTTATATTGTTTTGTCATGTTACTAGAACTATCTGAATTTTTCTCGTTTTCTTAATCGAGTATTATTGCATCAGAATATATAGTATTACATAGAATGTTCTAGACTTTTGTAGGAGTACAAATACGCGTCGAAAGATTATTATTTTAATCTAGACTGCGTGATTGTGAGTTTAACAATAAAGAACGTATAGTGGCGAATTTTTAAGTGAAATTATCGCAGACTGTATTGTAATAACAGAGAAGAGAATAATAACTCGTATCGTCAATTGTGTTCTGAAGTAATTGAACCAGTTTGTGTGAACAAAAAAGAAAGAGACAATTATTTAAAGCTATGGATACAACTGTGTAACGAACATTTGTATATACGTTTAACTTGCTTCAATGTATAATTTTAAAACAAGTGAAATGTGTTGCTGCTTTTTTATTGTTGAAATTTATCGCCAACAAGTCACAGACACCTACTGTATAGAATCCGACCTACAAAACTTTACAGTAGCAATGCGGTTTTGGTTTCCAATACAAAGCGTTAATAGGAGCCATTGCTTGCGACTATTTGAATCCAAAAATGCTAATGCTTCATCAAAATAATGTAGACTATTTAGAAAACGCTAAATACCATAAGCATCTGTACTATAACAATATAAGCATAATTGTTTACAACACAAACATAGGGAGTTCGACCGAACAGTCTCAATCCCCTTCCTCTTCCTGCTTATACGTCACTACTACAGTTTTGTAGGAATTGATACCACTTTGCAGTTCTGTAGGAACAGATGTCACTGTTACAGTTTTGTAGGAACTGATAGAACTGCTACAGGTCTGTATGAATAGATACCACTGCTACAGTTCTGTAGGAACTGGTACTATTGCAACTGTTCTGTAGGAATCCATACTACTGCTACTGTTCTGTAGGAACAGACATTGCTACAGCTTTGTAGAAACGGCTACCACTGCTACAGATCTGTAGAAACTGGTACCATTAATACAGTTCTGCAGAAACAGATGACACTGCTACAGTTTTGTAGGAATCGATACCACTGTTGCAGTTTTGTAGGAATAGATACCATTGTTACAGTTCTGTAGGAATAGATATCATTGCTACAGTTCTGTAGGAATAGATATCACTGCTACAGTTTAGTGAGAAATGGTACTATTGCTACTGATCTATAGGAATCGATACTACCGCTACATTTCTGTAGAAAATGATACCACTGCTACAGTTCTATATGCTGCAAGGTCAAAGTACTAGAAGATTAGGAAGAAAAGCAGTGATTCAAATAAAAAGCAAAAACAAGTATAAATACATTTTAGATTCTAATATGCATCATCATGCACAGACACTGAACATAAAATATAATAATATGTAATTATTAAGTTTTACAGTAATTACTTATTTCAAGAGGTTTTGTGGACGAGGGTACAACATTCATTTTTTTTTTCAGTAAGCAAACTTACAGGTTACGTTTAGAGTCAGGCCATCTTCCAAGGCACTGTCACGAACAAATGGATTATCCACACGGCAAGAAAGGTATTTTCCATTGTCCCATCGAGACGGCATAAACGTCAATATGCTTAAGGTAGCGTTGCCATGCACGGGAATAATTTCTGTTGCTGTTGTTAACTGTGTACTGCCTTTCCACCACGTGATACGCGCAGGAGGTTTCGAACCTGCTGTCTGACATTCGACATTGTACTCCTTATCTGCAGAAAACTGCCGTCGTTTGGTGGAAATTTTTACGTTTGTCGGCCTTACTGGACAAAAAAATAATAATCTTTTGATCACAAGATAAACTATTTAGAAATATAAGCACATCCAAAACATATTATACATTAAAATCTATTTTTCAAAAATGATATTGTACATGAAAAAATTGCTGCAAAATTCTTGATTTCAAACGGATCACTTTTTTTTTACTTTGTTTTACTTCCAACATTGGTTTTTATTTTATGCAACACATTCATGACATTTAAACTGCGTTAATATCACAATTTTAAGTTATATATATGGTTTTATTTCGCTAAATCAATAATTTCTAAAACAAAGTAACCAAGAGAAATATTTTTTTATCGTATTATTCTAAAAACAGAGTCAATACTAAGAGAGAGGCCCTTTCATAAAGTTGAATAAAAAAACTTCTTTTGTGCTATTGTTATTACTCTTATAGAATGGCCTGCAAGATGATCTAGTTAATGTGGTATAACATGTAGCAGTCAAAGTTCAAGTTCGTTTGTTATAACTCTTCACGATCACTGAACTAGTTAATGTAGTAAAAGATGTATCTGTTACAGGTCAGGTTAGTGTGGTATAACTCTTCACGATCACTGATCTAGTTCATGTAGTAGGACATGTAACTGTCACAAATCAGGTCACAATCACTGATCTAGTTAATGTGGTAAAATGTACCAAAATCACAACTGATCTAAGTGTGAAATAACATGTCACGATAACATGGAATAGGTGACTAAAAGGATCTAAAATTAAACACGTGAAATTTGGACGAAAATGTGCATAAATATAATGACAAATATGATAAGATTGATTATGAAATGATGTATATTTACCTTGATATAATTCTAAAGTTTGCGGTCATACGGATCTATATATTGAACAGAGCTGTTTTCCGTAGTATTTAATTTTGAAATAGCTAGAGAAATTAGTTTTAAGTTTATTAGCAAGTTCTATCATTTCCCCGAAAGGGGCTGAAGGCCGCCTCGAGGGTGTCACCCGTTTTAACCACTTTCATCACTATACAATAGTGTATTGTATGTTAGTCAGTTAGTAGATACTAAAATGACGTCACATAAGGAGCGCTTAACGTTATAGTTTATACTGTCGGACGTCAGTAAAATAAAACGTTCGCATGCCATGAATCACGACAAAAATTATTCACTCGGTAAGCTGCAACACAACACGACATTTGAACTTCAAAAGTAAGAAAAAAATATTTGTTACTCTTAATTTTGGTTTCATTTACTCTTGAAACAGAAAATTTTCGGGGACCCTGCGGAAATACATCTAGTATACATATATATATATGTATAAATGACGTCCACTTTTCCATACTTCTTTATGGCGGTCTGTAGTACATAATGGGTAAGCAAAACAATAGTATATGTTGTCTATGCATCACATGATATTTATCTGAAACAAGCCTTAGCTTCGTGCAACCTGCTTAGGACTCAGATGTATCCGTATGCCTCTTTCGTCAGTAAAATTCCAGTCTTTATCAGCTACACGATTATAAATACTGCATGTGTGGTGTATGTGTCCGGTGATGGTGAGAGTCTAGCATAATATTCTTGACCCTGCTTAACACTGGTAATACCAGCCCCAAATTGTGTTACCAAAGATGTCATATATAGTAGGAAGTAGATCTTTGAAGTTTCAGGAGACGCGTATCCATATCCACAGCCTTTCCTGCAAGTATCTTTTAGTATAGTTGTTGAAACAGCATTTTCGTCCCACCATATTATTTTGTGAGACAAGGGATCATTTTAGGCTACCCCTATCTTAATATGTGTGTAGAACATGTCGTGATCACAGATCCATTTAATGTGGTAGAATATGTCATGACCACAGATCGGGATAGTTATATCATAATCACAGATCAGACTAGGTGGAAGAATATGTCGTGATCACAGATCGAGATAGTTATATCATAATCACAGATCATACTAGGTGGAAGAATATGTGACGACCATTAATCTGAGTAATGCACTAGGATACGTTTGTGTTGTAGAACATCTAACGATCATATCTCTAGTTAGTATTGTGGAATTATTTACGACCAATAATCTACTTAATATAGTAAAATATATCATTTTGGCAGATCTGTACAGTAGTGCTGAGTGTGTCCCCATCCCAGTCCTACTTAGAGTGGTAGAATAGTTACGATAAGGGATTTAGTCTGTGTAAAACATGTTATAATCATAGAGTTATTTATTGTAGTGAAGCATATCTAATATAATTTTAACTTTCTAACACGTGCTTCAATTTAGGTAGCTTTATAATACTAAGTCATAGTTTTTATTATCGTTTACCATTGTTTACATGTTAAGACACCAAAGATGATGTTTCCTTATCCTGTATACTGTGAAATACGTCTTTATATCACTAATGAACGTATGATGATTGTTACGTATTGGAATTTCAAATGGTCTGTAAC